AATACTATTGATGTTTTGGAGCAGACAATCCTTTGTTGCGGGGGCCTGGCCTATTACTGTAAGATATCTAGCATCATTCCTTGTATCTTCCCACTAAATGCCAGTGGCACCTGCCCCCCCACACCTGCAGTCTTGACAGTAAAAAATGTCCCCAGACATTGCCTGATATCCCATGGAGGTGAGGGGAGGGGAATGCAGAATCACCCTGGATTGAGAACCACTGGTCTACACCACCTCTTGCTGTCTTCACTAAACTGGGGAGGGTCGCTTGAGCTGAGTTCTTAGGGGTGAGTAGGTGGCTGGGGGCAGGAGAAGGGCATTCCTCCCAGGAGAGAGAACAGCAAATGCAGAGGTCTACAGGTTCTGGAGAGTGTTAACCCCAGGGAGGTTCCACTGCCGCAGGAAGGAAATTGGAGGACTGGTAGGTTAGGGGCGATAGCTGGAGGCAGGTGCCTTTGCTGGTCCCCTTGGTCTTCTGCCCCGAGCTAAGCCTCTGCTGGACGTTGTGCCACCCGGAGAGACTCTGGGACGCTCTTCCTGAGTTCCTCCCTCCATTCCCCAGGGGCCCAAGAAGCTGAGCGCTGTTGAGAGGGCAGGGGGCCTGGCTGTAAGAGAGCGGGAGGGCTGTGCCAGGCAGTGCTCACAGACTCTGGCCAACTGGCTGGCAGAGCGAAGCTGCCTGCTGCTGGCTGCCTCACTCCCTGGGGCCGGGGTCGAGGCTGAGACTGATTTATTCCCGTCATAATCCCGCGGTCGGTTTGGTGAGAGTTGGAAACACGTTGGTTTTCCTTCCCAAGTGTAACAAGGCCTGTTTCCGCCTCCGCGGCCGCTGCTGCAGTGCCACGCGGTGAACTGTCCAGGACATGACAAAAGGGCTGGGTTAGCCGCCTGCAGCTTTGAACATGAACGGCTCCTGGCTCTCCCTGCCCTCAGGCTCCTCTCGCCCAAGCACTGGTCTCTCCTCTTGGCCGACCCCTCTGGGGGCCCTGAATATCCTTTCTCCTGTTGATGTCATTTTGGGGCCCCAGCCTCCTGGGAGCCGGGGTCCTGGTCTGGGGGTGGGGGAGCTGTAGGAACAGGTGGTATTTGGAGACTAATTAATATTTTTGAATAATAACACGTGCCCAAGGGAAACAAATCAATCTGTGTTTGCATATTCATGAAGAGGACTCCGAGTGAATGATCCCAGCTGTTCTCTAGCCAGGGAGCCCCTCCCGCCCCCCCATCTCTGGCGTAACATGGTCTCTCAGGAGTTGGGGGCACCCATTGAGGTTGCAGGGGTGCTTAGGTCAGGCTACGGAGAGGTGACATGGCCTCTGTGTTGTATGCGTTTCCATGACGTTCTTATTTGAATCTTGTGGCTTGGTGTGGTGCCTGCTCCTTCCTTTTTCCTCCAAGCAGTGATTCCCAGGCTCTTTGATTTCACAAACTAGCACACTTTCCAAAAGTACTTGGGGGCCAGACATGGGAATGGCAGTTTTTTATTTTGCAAAGTAAGGATATTATGGGAAAATACCACGATCTGCTAACACCCATATTGCATACAAGAAAGGACCTTTTAACACCAAAACAAAATATGAGAAATAACGGACAGTTCTTCCCAAGAAAGGGCATTTGGCAGCTTTACACTGCTGTAGCAAGGAAAAAGGATATATTAAAACCATTCTGAATGTAGAAAAATCATATCCAATTATATTCTGTAATGTCATACAGTATGGAGTTGTTTTCCTGCCCAAGTACATCAGTGTGGGAGAACCAGTGGCCCACAGTGCACTTCAGAGACAAGCCTTAGTTAATGTCAAGGGCTCAGGCCTTGTTCTCATCCCAGACTCACCCAGCCATGCTGGGGGAAGTGGACGCCCAGCTCTTCACATTTGCACTGAATTCTCGGCAACCCCAGCGACGTTAGCATCAGTCCTGCCTCACTGCTCCTTTCCCACTTTCTGCCCATAGATGACCCTGAGCATTCTGGGGGTGGGGGGCAGGGCCAAGGACTAGACCGAGGTCAGGCCCAGGGACCCAGGACTCAGATGAGGGAGCAGGCTCTGTTTCCAGTGTTTGGGGTAGGTAGCAGTTTGCTCTTGCCAGCAGCTGGTGACGGAGAGGCCTTGCCTTGGACAGCTGTGTGGTTGCCAGAGTAGTTCCCTAAGAATGTGTCCATGTTTGTGTGTCCCGTGTCCCCTGCCTCTGGGTATAGCCACGTCCCTGTGTCCATGGACCTCTAGGAGAAGCTCTTTGGGGAGGGGATGTCTTTGTTTTCAATTTCTCTAACCTTTGTCCTGCTTTCAGTATCTGAACAGTGAGCTGAGTATCCCAGACTCAGATACGTGGGAGGTCCTTGGAATCCCCAAATAAGTGTCACCCTGGGGGTGGGGTTACCAGAGGCTCAAATTCTCTGACACCCATGGCCGGAATCTCATCCTAGACTGTACCACATGACACTGTTCTGGCGTTGTGCCCCTGTGATGGCTGTACTGGGAACTCACACCCCTTTAATATCAGTCCTGGGGACTGATACCCTGTGATGTCTATGCCAGGTAGGGGAGTGGTACACCTGTACAATAATGTATTGGGAAGTGATATCCTTATAAAGGCTGTTAGGGAGTTGCACCCCCAGGATGTCTGTACCCTGTGTCTACACTCATGTGATGTCTGGACCAGACAGCTACACCTCCATGACCTCTCCACCTAGGAGTTACAGTGCTGTGATTACTATACCAAGGCCGATACAGGGATGTACTTTTGTGATAATCACACCGGAAAACTACAGCCCATTCTGATTGTGCTGCATACCTGTACCTCCATGACATCTCTTCTTTGTAGCTTTATCCCCTTTAGTTTTTACCAGGGAGATCTGTTCCCCGTGCTGTGTGTTCCTGAGGGTTGTACCCCTGTGGTGTCTGCACTGGTGTGTGTGTGTGTGTGGGGGGTTGGTGCACACCCAGAATATTTGCACCTGGGAATGAAACCTCTGTAAATATGGTATTACAGGTATCTGTAAATATGATACCTGGACTAGGCCCCGTCTTTTTGGTGCAACGCACCACTGAGCTGCAAACCCATGGTATCTGTACCACAGGCTACAGGATGATTATGACAGGGGGCCATGCCCCTGTAGCAGTCTGTCCGGATAGCTGGCTGCCTAATGGCTGCCGAGAACTTGAATTCTATTATAGGTTTCATGGCTGCATCTCAGCGCTGTGGTGATCAAATTCAGACAGGGCCTTAGTGATATGGGACCTGCATCCCAGACTGGCCGTACGGGGCATCATGGTAGGGACTTCCTCTCTCCTAGCCTCAGCCACCTGAGCTCTGTGATCACTGAGTGGGAACCCCAGGTACGGTGTGAATGGGGCTGGGTGCCCATCACGCCTCCTTCAGCTCTCTTGCTTTTACTTCTCAGCTCCTATCTGAGACTTCTAGCAAGATCTTGGGACAAAGGACATCTCCCTCCCTTTGCCTTTTGCAGTCAGCCCCCACCCCACTTCACAGTCCTTCCTGTTTTGTCTTCGCACCTTTGCTCACCTACCGCCCTCTGATCTTAGGACCTCTGACTGTCCCAGTTGAGACTAGGGTTCAAGTTCCAGAAAGGAGCAGAGCCGTCTTTGAGCCCTGCCCCTTCACATTCACCAGGCTTGTCCTTCCTTGCAAATTCTGTTACCATTGTGGGTCAGCTAGTACCTGGATCTGATCAAGACTCTCACCAGAGTCCCTGCATTCATTGTCACTCACTTGCCCCTCTATGTCCTGTTGTGTTTTCAGAGCATTACTGGGGGGCTTCTCACGGCACCAGCCACCTGCTCAGAGTAAGGTGTGAGCAGTGCTAGTGGACGCTGTTGGGGATCCCCTGAAACCCCCTGGGTTGGGGGGGACATAGGAGAGAGCTCATCATTGGGCCTGTGGAGTGATAGCAGTGTATCTGTAGCGTATGGTGTGGCCATGCTGAAGGCTTCATACAGGTGTCTGGTAGAGTGGGGAGGGCACACCTGGCTGAGGAGCCTTATGAGTAAAGGCCTGGAGGCATTGAGCCAATCCCAAACACCGTCTTCCCTGTGCACAGGTGCCTGTCTCAGCCTGGAAGGCAGTTCTCAGCAAGCAGCTCCCTGAAGTTTGATCTGTAATGGGCCACTGGAGCAAGGGTGATGTGGGTGGAATCTGAGGGTCCAGCCACCCGCCCCCCCATTCCTGGCCAATAGGGCCTTCCCTATGATTTCCTTTTGGAGTGGGAAGGTGCCATGGGAATTGGGTAGGACGAGGGTGGTCAGGCAGGGCATCTACAACTTGTCAAGAGCGCGTCCTGGCGAGCCTGGACGGGTTGTGGCTTTGGCTTTGAGCCTCTAATACGTGGATCCTGTCTGCTGCTAACAAGTCTGTGCTTTGGGGCCCGTGCTCAGCATGCGGGGTCTGGCCTACTGCCTCCTCCCTCCCTGCTGGGGAGAGAAGAGACAATGGGGTGCCCCAGGGACTAGCCTGCATGGGTCTCCTACCTTCTCACTGCTCTCTTAGTCTGTCTGTCTCCACCTGTGTGTCTCTGTGTCTGTCCAATCCTGTTTCCCTCTTCCTGTCCCCTTATGGAGGCAAGTTGGAAACTCACGGTCTGGGACAGAACATCCCTATACATCCTCTGGCCTCAGTGGCCCCCTGCCCTCCTACTCAGGTTTAGAGAATGACCTGAAGGCCTCTTGTACTCTCTCCCTACAGTGTGACTTTTGGATTACCTTTGGGGTCACTGAGGAAGGGCAGGGGGAGTCAGTGAGGAGCCAGGGCTCTGTGGGTCTGGGTGGTCATTGCATAGTCCAAGGTGGGGGTGGGGGTGTCTGTTGAACTAGACTCTGGATGGTCCGTGAGGGAGAGCAGGGTCTGGGTGGTGAGTAGGGATGAGGAGGTGGCGTAGGTGGGCAGTAGGGACATTGTTGGAAACCAGCTAACTGGCTCTGCCCTTCTCTCTATCACAGGTTGATTGTCCTGGGCTGTGGCTGGCCGTGGTGCTGGAGCCCTGGATGGCCCCAGAGCCAGCCCCAGGGAAGACGATGGTACCCCTTGTGCCTGCACTCGTGATGCTTGGTTTGGTGGCAGGTGCCCATGGTGACAGTAAGTCTGACCCCTCATGGTGCGGGATCTCCCAGGTTAAAAGGTGGCACTCCTCCTAGCAGGATTCTAGGGTGAGGGGCACAACCAGGTACTACAAGAGGCAAGATAGTTAGATACCTCCCTAGACCTCGTACTGTCCTAGAAAGACATCGCCCTCTCAGTTAGATAACCCCCCCTCCCAAGAAGTACTCCAGCCTCATGCTTCCTGGGAGCATCCTGTGAAATGCCTGCATGTCCCTTAAGGCACTGCGGGGTGGGGCATGTCTAAGTATGTCCCCGTTTTATGGGATGGGAGTGAGCCATGTCCAAGATTCATGTGGTCATTGGGTGACATGCTCAGGCGTGTACTGTGCCTGCCACTGCAGATCTGTGCAAAAGACACAGTGTGAGCCATGTCAGAGTTGAGTGGGAATAGGGGGGTGGCTCACAAGGAATCTATATGGATGTGTGAATGGGATGCCACATGTGTCCACAGGTCCAGGGAGAGATCAGAAACGGGAGCCACCACAGCTCTTCCCCTGGGCTAGACCCTTGGGATTCATATGTAGGGACACTGAGTCCCTCCTTCCCCTTCCCCACCACCTTCGAGGCAAAAGGGCATCCCCCTTCCACCAGCCCCTCAGTGTTGGGAATCTGGGGAAGATTGCACCTGGCCAGCAGGATGCTGGGCTCCAGTGGACCTGTGTGTGTGTGTGTGTGTGTGTGTATGTGTGTGTGTGTGTGTGTGTGTGTGTGCGCGCGTGTGCGCGCT